AAAAGGTGGCGCTACAAAGTATTAACTTAAGGGGGCTGAATAATTTTGCACGCCCAATTTTTCAGTTTTTTTATTTGTTAAAAACGTTTGAAATATCCAATAAATTTCGTTCCACTTCATGATTGTGTCCCACTTGTTGTTGATTCTTCACAAAAAATTACAGTTTTATATCTTTATGTTTGAAGCCTGAAATGTGGCAAAAGGTCGCAATGTTTAAGGGGGCCGAATACTTTCGCAAGGCACTGTACATGAGGGTCAAAATATTAGGAAGACCTCCAAATATAATGCAGTCCAGTACACCACCACCTTTAACTATGACATCAATAATAAACATGAATTTACATATTTATGACAATTTCACCAAAAACTGAAACATTTTGAGCTTCATAAAGACAGATGTTAAGGCGGAAGTGTTGCACTGAATTGAATACAATAGCACAGGTGTACCTAATAAAGTGGCCGGTGAGTGTATAGTGCTGTCTGGTATGTTTTTTAATGTACAATATGCTATAAATAAAATTGTGCTCTCTCAAATGTATAAAATAGTACATTACCTGTTGTCTAGATCTGTGACGTTGATCGTCTGGGCCCTGAGGTTTTCCAGCAGAGTCCAGGGAGAGCAATGTGGGAGACGTTTGGGCCATCGAGACAGGAAAGTGAATCTCACTGACTGGTTGTCAGTGAAGCACATGTAGCAGTGTGGCCGATAAGAGACGTTCTTTACCAGCCACTCTGTATCAACTATGGAGAAGTCATGGACATGGAGAGCTCCCCCTGAAAAGGTGAATTATTGAACTGTAAAAAAAACCTTTGAATGTAGTCCCTGAATGCAGAAATCTAAATCATGTGACCTACTGTATAGCACTATGACCTGACCAGCAACAACAACATCCATCCATCCATTCATTATCTATACCACCTTTTCTGAAAAGGGTCACAGGGGGGCTGGAGCCTATCCCAACTGACACTGGGCAAGAGGCGGGGTACACCCTGGACAGGTTGCCAGTCTGTCACAGGGCTGACATGTAGACAAACAAACACACACACTCACGCCTATGAGCAATTTAGAGTGACCAGTCAACCTAAGCTGCACGTCTTTGGACTGTGGGAGGAAGCCGGAGCACTCAGAGAACCCAAGCAGGCACAGAAAGAGCATGCAAACTCCGCACAGAAAGGCCCCGAGTCAGCCTGGGCTCGAACCCGGAACCTTCTTTGCAACAACTACAGTAAGTATAACTACTTACTACAACTACTTAGTATATACACTAAGTATAGTAGCCTACAGCACTGAAAATACAAACAGGGCAAACATGATGCTGAAGTTCCCAGTTCCCACTTTAACAGTTAATGGGAAGGTTAAAGGATGCTTACATGATGGTGTTAACAGTTAATGATTAATTAATGATTTCTTGTGCGGCCCGGTACCAATTGATCCACGGACCGGTACCGGTCCGCGGCCCGGGGGTTGGGGACCACTGGCCTACAGCACTGAAAATACAAACAGGGCAAACATGATGCTGAAGTTCCCAGTTCCCACTTTAACAGTTAATGGGAAGGTTAAAGGATGCTTACATGATGGTGTTAACAATATAGTTCCCCATCTTTTGACCCACTTATTGTTGTTAAAGGGTAAAAGACATCCTAGGTAAAGCCTCCACCCTGTTTAAAAACCACTTTCAGATTTGTGAAATGTATTTTATCTATGAAAACAAAACACACAAGACACAATCCCAAGTGATTTTACTGCATTTGCCCATAGGCACAATAGTAAGACCAGGTGCATTTCAAAACTCAAATCTGGCCTAGATGAAAAGTTAACAGCATTTCATATCAACTTGTCTGCAGATGGTGGAGTGTTGTTATAAATGTGCTTAAAAATAAAGCTAATTTCTAGCAAACATTTATGTTTGCATTTGAAGGACCAGATAACTTAAATTTCAACAGCTATTTTCTCTGAGCTTTTTTTTTATTCAGCAAACACATCAGCATTCCCCAGCCTCAAGGGGTTTGGGGTGTATTCAAAATCCCACGATGTTGTGGCCATCCAGAGCATTTCAGCCCTCTTGCCCTGCCATTCTAACATCTGGTCTACAGCAGCCCTACTCTGAGCTGCCAGAACTGTATTCAAAATCCCACGATGTTGTGGCCATCCAGAGCATTTCAGCCCTCTTGCCCTGCCATTCTAACATCTGGTCTACAGCAGCCCTACTCTGAGCTGCCAGAACAGGTCTCACCAAGAGAAAAAGCCAAGAATTTCATAATTATTTTCCAGGACAACACATTTGTTTTTCAGGACTACTTTTCTTATTTTCCATAAGATTTCTAAAACTGAATAACAAATTCAAGGTTTTCCAGGATGCATAGGAACCCTGTAAAATTCTACTTCAAATAACACATTTTACATAGTATGTAAAATGATACTGCAAAGCAGCAGAGAATACACCTTTTCCATAAACGATTCTCTTTCTCTGTCAGTTCTGCTAATCTTTGCCTTTTTATCAGTCTTTTATTGTGTGATTCTTTCTCTTTTATCTGCCGTTTTCACAGTTTGATGGTGAAAGATAGAGATAGCGTGAACAGTGTTGTTAAAATCTGCTCAAGGATCACTGATGTGAAACAAAGGGACTTGAATTCCTATTGTAACCATCAGATCCTTAGGAAAGCGACAAGCACTTTAGCATCGTCTGGTCATATCCTGTTCATTGAGTTTTCTTTGGTCCCCTCACCACATCATTATGTTTTAACAGCCTGTAAAACTAACCAGTTCTTCAAGTCTTTTATCCCATGTGCTGTACAACTCTGTAGGATTCCTTATCCCTAGCCCCCTACGATCACTCATGTCATTTTTGTGTGTGCCGTATATGCACGTGTCTTACACACAAAGCTAGTATAACAGCAATATTCACCTAGTGTCTGGGTACACTGGACAAACCTTTAGGCATCTTCTGCAGCAGACTGAACATGGGACTGGTCCTGATGAGGTCCCTAGCCTTGAAGAAGTGCATGGCTGGAGGGAAGTCTGCTCTCACCATCTCCTCCTGCTTCAGTTTACACAGACGAGCATCCAGACGCTGCTCAGCGTCAGTCAGCACCATCTCCCCACCTGTCTGCATGGAGGCCTCCAGCTGTATCAGAGCCTCTCTCAGTCTGGGGTCCGGGATGGACAGAGCACCGGCGAAGAGGCACAGCAGCAAACAGAGCCCAGCCGCGTGGGGGCGCTGTCGCTGGACTGCCATAGTCCGGACAGTGTGTGGAGCTGGCCAATAGAAGAGACATTAGCAACAGCACCTCACGGAGACGGAGAAGTCAGCTGAGGTGAAAAAATAAACATTTAGCCCCTCAACATCCGCTGAAATAGACTAGAAAACTGCCAGGTATCTGTCGCTGTTGTCATCCTGTTGCTACCATGTTTAAATTACACATATCTAGGTTAAATGGAGAAGTTAGTTGCCGTTAACGTTAAATCGTCACAATTTCAAGTGTGTGAGTGGTGTACAAAACTGGAGGAATACACAACAAGAACACAGTATCCTGGATTGACTAACGTTACAGCTCACTTTGTTATTTCGAGAAAGAGCACGTTCTTTTTCTCCTAATAAACAGGCTGTACAGGCCTCGACACAACAGAATTGTGTTACGTTACCTTAAATATTAGTCGCAGCGTCTAGACAGCATAAAATATGCTACTCAATTATAAACATTCCGGTTAAGAGTCACTTTAAAAATAGCGAACCACAGTAAAACTCAATGGACGGTGTCAGCTGGAAATATGGGTATGCTTTGGTTAAGCAGAGTACTTCATTACGCCAGTGCCAACCATGAACAAGCTAATAAGATAGTGTATACAACAACAAGAACAACCGAGCCTGCCTGCCCGCCCATATTCACCCGAGGGTATTCCTCCCAACGCCCAGCCTCTCAGGCAGCCGTCGGCGTGGCCAACATTTGTTCCCTTTGCTGTGATTGGCTCAAGCCTAACACTGGCGAACAGTCGATTGGTCTATTGTGGACGTAAATACAGTGGCCGGTAAGACAAAGGATAGGGAATACTTTGCATCTGTCCGAATGCCCTGCACTTCTTATTGGGAGTACACCGATTTGTTTGATTTGGATCTTAATGTGGCCTTTATCAAACTAAACAAGTTGTAAAAACGCTGAGCTTTAGCGGAAAAGATCAAGTTTAAAAATAACACGACAGTGCATTTATCAGAAAAACAAATTTGAAAGCATGTTTCTATTTCAGACATGTCCAAGCAGATAAGTCGGAGCACTTTAATAAAAACCACTTTAAAGAACAGAACACAAACTGTACGATCCAAACCAGTCACAACGATATGAAGATGACACTACAAGGCAATGTAATCAAAAAAGACCTGCCACTGAAATTTCGATTTTAATGGAATAAAACAAATTCTTAAAAAAAAAAATCATATTTGTCAGGACAATATATGAAAAATCTATTTTCCCCTTGATAATTGACTATATTTGTCAACAAATGCTGTCAAGGTTGTAATGGAAACCTCCAGTGTTTTTACACTTAAACCTTTTTGGTTTGATTTTGTTATTCTGAAATCATATATTTTAAAGATATAATTGTATAACTTTAGATTTTAACATTTTTGTTAAGGACAGAAAAACCAGAAATCCAAGTTTCATACAGGCAAAGAGCATAAGATGAAAGCTACATCAAAATGATTTCACAATTAGGCTGTTTACAATTCTAATTTGACTTGTTTTCCCACTTTAGTGGAATTTAGTTATACTTCCTCACTTAAAGTGCCTTTATTACATGCCTCATTTGCATTTTGCTGCTGCCAATTTTGTCATCATTAGGCCTGAACTAAAAATATATATTGTGTTAGTGTACAAGGAGCCCATGAAGGAAGCCTAAGGAGGCTTGGTGCTTCCTCCTACACTGACATCACATCCCTGGCTCCTGCAGACATGGGCCAGACAAAGCAGCACACAATCTGTGGAGGGTGTTTGTGAAGAGGATGAGTGTTTAATTAAAGGCGATGGTGTGAGTTGCTCCAATAGATTAATGCAGTGTCTTCCACAGGCCCTTTACTTTTTTTTCTACTTTGCATTTCCTTACTTCTGGCCTCTTAATATCTTTAACAGATTACAGATACATGTCCCATCACTGGAGAACTGCACTGCCTCTTTTTTATGTTTTTCATTCACAGCAGTGTCAATTAAAGAATCACTTTTTTTCTCTAATGGTATGATTTCTTGATTGACAATAACAAAACAAATTCTTGTTCAAGAAAAGTTATTTATTTCTAAGCAATGTAAAATATAGAAAATACTCCATTCCATTTCCAAAATAATCTATGTCAGTCAGATAAGAACTTGTAAACGTCACTTAAAAATGAAACATACAGGTCTTTTTTCCAATGCCAGCATGCTACTGAGGTAAAAGACAACTGCTTAAAAGCATCAAGAGGGAAAAAAGAAACATACACCACATTTATATTAAAACAAGTCCAAAAATTGTATAAAATTTTTTTAAAGAGCAAATAAATATGATTCACATTTAATCATGTCTAAATGGTTTTCACTAGTGCAGAGAGGTGACAGCAGAGAAAAAGTGAGAGTTGAACACACACTTCCATTTGTTTGGTGTTGATTCTACACACCAGAAATACACAAACACACACCCATCTGTACAACATAAGTATCACAACCTCACAGACCTTTAAAAACAACAATGCCCTCTGTACATTAGACAGCACACTACCTCCAAAGTGGCCCTATTAGGCTCACTAAATATCATGACAAATAGCAACTCATCCATGCCAAGGCTTATGTGACCTTTATAAAATTGTCTCACAGCTTCTAACATTTTACTAATCCACAATTCTCAAATATTTCCTTACAATGCCTTAAGTACCTATTACTAAGGACATTATAATGGTGCCAAACTCTATACAGTCTATTAGAGAAAATCAGACTGGAATACTGCCTACTTTGTCTAGGTTTAAACATCCTGTAGGCAGGAAGGCATGCAATCTTTACAAGAAGTCCCACATCAGACATCTGATGTAATATTGTCTATCATACCCCAATGATGACAGTAAAAAACGAGTAAAAGCACTGTCCCATTATGTAGATAGTGTGCACCAGCAGTTAATGTAACTGACAGCTGAGCAACATACTAGGGCACAACATGAGATTTTCTCTCGATAGTAAATTACTGTAAGACCGTTTCATTGTGAGTTCTGTAAGCTTACAAACTATAGGTGGTGCTAAAACCATCAGCTGATCATAAAATGACCCGCAGACTGTGGATGTGGCCAATTAGCTTGATGAGGTAGATTCATTTGCTGTCATCGCTAAAGTAGGGCTCACAGGTGCCACATTGATATGATAGGGTGGGGGACAAAACCTCCACAGTCTAGCCCAGTTATAAGAAAATACACTGGCTGCTCTTGAAAAGGTGTCAGAAGAACGCTAAAATTAATTGTGAGGACAAACAGTATGACCTAAAATCAACAGGAATGTAGAATCATTCAAATTAGATCCATCTAACATCCAATCAATTTTGGTGAAAATGGAAACACAAAGCAGGGGTTTAAAGGGTTGGCAGTGTGCAACACCAAATATTGTTAAGGACAATGTATACAGACCCTTAAAAGTTAAGTTCTTCACATAAGGTGGATTGATTTGCCACAGTTGCAGTCCTGCTTTCCTTATTCTACTCTTCCTTCAAATAATTCAGAAAAATACCCGTATATAGAAAGTGTTCACCCTGAGGATACGTTTAGTATTGACATGGGGAAGAGGAAGCACTTAAACAAGCAGCCATGCAAAGGGCAAAGACGTGAATAAAGAACTAAAGCTACAAACTTGTAGGTGGAATGCAAAAATGTCACACAAACAGCAGGATTTCATATGCGTACCTGTTTGTTCTGTGTGTATATCAGACATGTCAGAGCTGATGAGAATTTTAGATTATTCTCATCTGGGACAAGAGGTAAGACTCTGTAATGAAGGGCTGTATTTAATATATATTTTTCCATACTTACATATATTAAAAGGCATTGACTAAAATAAGACTATCCAAGGCCACTCAATTCCAGGATGTCAGACTAAAAGTCCATAGTGCATAACAGAGTGTCACTTACAAATAGCACCATCCTTGCTGGTCCCTCTCTACTAGTCAAAGACATTCTTATCACTGAAGGCAGGTCTGAAAGATGCATATACTGTGTTTACTCCAGAAGCAGAGAAACACTCTTAAGAGTTGGGGTGGAAATAAACTGTAACTGGGCCTTTTTCAGGACAGTTTATGGTTTAGTCAGATGACTAGAGTGTGTGTGTGTGTGTGTGTGTTCTTTCACATGCAGCTACCGGGCTGCACTTACACATTCACTCATACATTCAAAAGGGGCCTGTAAATTGACTGGGTTATAGGGTCACAGTCTCATAGTACTTCCTTTTCTACACCTGAGTTTAAAGATATGGTTGGAACAGCAAATAGCAATAAAAACAATAGTCCCTTTCCTCTTCGCCACAGTCCTCAGTTGTGTAAGTGGATTTATAGTAGCTCCACTGACCACTCGCATCAGTGAACAGGACAGGCAGGCTGTGTTCAGTGGCCTTTAATCATCTCAACTCCTCTAAGAGGAAAGGGCTGTCCAGTGTTCTAGGAGGCAGTGTCCCCTGTGTCTGGCAGGGGAGACCTAGTGGTTAAAACAACTGCCCTTCTGCTGGAGGATCCAAGTTCAAATCCTCATGTTGAACTGTTGTGGTGAAGTGTCTTTGAGCAACTGAGTGAATCCTTACCAGCTCCACAGATGTATCCTGTAGCTACCTCAGTGCTCTGAACTCTATGTGAAGAGTAAGCACAAAGAGAATTGTTCTCTGAGACTCTGTGAAATTTCACATTATCATTTTTAGTATTATATGAGTGATATCAGCTGCCTGGTCCAGTGGTGGGCAAAACAAAGCCAAAGGTTGTTGTCCAGTGTTAAGAATATCAGTAAAAGATACAAATGGAGCATGTCTGCATCTTCTTTCATTTGGCTCACTGCTTTGTTCATGTTTTTTGATGATAACATGTCTGGAAAGAAGAAGAACAACAGGTTAAAACACCTCAAATTTCAGCACATTTAGGACTATAACAGCTTGCAGTGCCATGTATCAGATCTGTGTTTTGGTCCCATCAGAGACTTATGGAGACCCTCTGGCAGAGCTGTCACATAAGCAAGCATTTAAAAATCTCCTTGTGAGACATTTTAAAACATAAAAATACTGTATTATGAGAAATTGTTGTCTAACAGTTTTCCACAAAAGAAGTTCAACAAGACCCAGAAAAGGGCCTAAATACACATCAGGTCTTTGTCCTTCATTGTGAATTCCAAGATTCTTGAATATTCAAATACATGCAAATGAATCCAGGCATCGTGCACTGCCCGGCCACCACCGTTTCCCCCAGGTGGACTGGTGAAATCACTAGGGATGTAAATTTCTCTTTTCCAGTGATCTAATGTTTGCAGATACTAAAAAATTCACCACAATGTAGTTTTGATTTGATTAGATTCGATTCAGGGGCCTGTGAGTGATATCAAGTGATATTTTCTGCCTATTTCACACAGATTTTTATTAGCTGAAAATGAAATGAAAGCGTTTTGTCACTTGCTCCTCTCACGCAACAGATAAACTCCAATCTATCAAATGTGTCAGTCTACACTGACTCAGAGACATGCATGTGAGAGACGCGTCACCCCTGGAACCCCCTGTTCTCTACCCTAGTCAAGTTTCTTCTCTCTGGTGTGTTTAACACAGCATAATCCCCACAGACCATTTGCCCAGTCACTGTCTTACTGACAGATACACCTGTTCTGAAGACAGTGACGTTGCATGGAGGTCAGAGTCAGTGTGGACTGAACGGATCAAATGCTTCAGTAGCTTGTGTACTGCCTACATCTCATTTTTAGTGTGAATTCCTAGTCTCAGGTGTTTGCAGATGGAACATGGTTGGCTTTTAACATGCAGCATTACATAACACATTTTGTGCAAGCTCTCTTTAATGAAGGATGATGAAATGGGAAACTGCTAGAAAAAAAATTATATAATATAACGTGTTAGAAGGTACTTTACTCACCTTGATCAAATGGTGCTCATCACACTCCTTGTTTACTGCTAGGGCCTCTTGGTGCAGCCATCATCTGTTGCCTGTGACCACAAAAAATGTTGTTACACCCAGCTGCTCAGGTACAGCGTGACACTGTTGGGCCAACAGAATACTTTACAGAAGCCATTCCTAATGTCAGATCTGACAAAAAAATGCCATTCTAATCATTCTAACTTCACAAACAATGGTTTCATTAACAATTTCCTGTGGTTTATTTTAACTTAACTGTTTAAAAAATAATTGATTTTTAAAAATGTCAGAAGATAGTCAAAATTAATGAACTAAATGAAATGAATTTCTGAGAGCCACAGCCAATGTTTTAAGATTGTCATAAACTCCAAGCTTACTCAATCTGGCACAGAACACAGAAGAATATGCAAATGTGACATTTTTGCTTGATAAAATAGTACAATAAACCGATGATCAAAACTGCTGTTGATTTTTTTTTCCAGATATCAACTAATTTATTAATCGTAACACCATTAGATGGTTTGAAGGTAGAATGGGGGAAAATTGCAACCTGTATGTGAAAGACTGCACCGATTTCATGGCTGTGGGTAAGGTGAAGCTCAAACAGAAACATTTTAAGACAAAGACTGCAGATACAAAGAGAACACTAATAGAAAGTTTCAAACTAGAGATGCACCAACCGCAATCTTCTTGGCTGATTCTGATTTCAGATTTTTCTTTTAAGTCAGACCTGCTGATTCTGATTTTCTATCGAAGAACTGTAACTGACAACATACACAGGGATTTTTCTAACTTTTATTTAATGAAAAATTAAATTGTAATAAAATAAAACATTGTATCCAAGTTTTATATGTCTGTCTTGCTCTCACTCTTTTTTCCAAATTAAAATTAAGTGCAATATTTATATTTCTCCAAATACAAACAGGTGCAACAGGTAGCAGAATTAGAATCTGTTTCTACTGAGCACACAGTTCGTTTTTAAAGCGTGTGTAGATTGTATTTGCCATTTAACCATGGGTTGGATACACTGTACATATACATGCATTTCATGTGTAGCCAGTAATTCCCTCATTGTGTACTATTTGTCAGAAATTTGCGCCATTCTTTCCCTTCTCCAAGGTGTTTTTGTAGGCTCCTCTGTGCAATGTTTGTACACCAAGTACTTCCAATGCACGAATGAACATGCGCCTAGTACAGACACAAGGGCGAGCCTCGGTTGAGGTGCATGCATGATGCTACATTTTGGTCTGCGTCACTGCATGCGTGACATGAACTGTTGTGCCTCTAAATCTGATTGGCACATAATCAGAAGTCTCAGAGTGATTGGCCGGTCAAGGCTGATCACGCTGAAAACCAGCCATTTCCAATCTGTGCCAATTGATCAGTGCATCTCTACTTCAAACTATAAACTACACAAGGGTGGATATTTTACCCTGGATGTAGGAAGTGTTCTGGTGGCAGGTCTCTCTGCTGAATCATCATGCCTTGAAAGTGCCCTGCAGGGCGGGGGTGTCGGTACATGGCCATGCGTGTCTGACCCAGGGAGTAGGGCAGCTGCTGGGGCCGCTGCAGAGCCTCCATTAGGTGTGGGTGAGGTCTCTGGGCAGCATAGTGTCCTGGATCTGGGTATGGATGGCCAGGGTAAGGAGTTCTGTTTCTAACTCCTCCAGCCTGAGACATCATGTGTGGTGGAGGAACGCCGCCTTGTTGCATCCCAGGGTGCATGGCACAAGGGTCATACATGAAGCCGGATGCCAAGTGTGTAGAGGCAGGAGGGTGTTGCTGCTGAGGTATCTGGCTGCTACGGCGGTGGGCAGCAGCATTATGGCTGTCAAGATCCAGGATTTCTTTAGGGCTTTCAGGTTGCTCTGAGCTCTCACTATGAGCCTGCTTTGCTGGACTGCCACCGCTGCTGCCTGTGCTGACCCGCTCCCTGATTTCACAATTTAGTTCCTCTCGGCCCCCAGGGTGTGGTCCTGCTTCAGACACAGGGCCAGGGGACACTAAACTAGCACCACTGGAGCCCTCAGAGCCCAGTGGTGACATGATGGTCTCTTTCGAGTGAACGTTGCCTCTGGCACTGACTACAGGTAGGTAGGCAGTGGGCGGCATCAGCTGGCGAGGCTGATAATGAGACCGATGCCACTCCTCTGGAGGATAGCCCCCTCTACTGTTGGCTTGGTTATGAGCCGGAGCTTGGAGATGGGGCTGGGGGTAGTAGTGTTGCTGTTCGTACTGATGAGGTGGATACATGTTGGGATGAGCCTGAGGGTGCTGTTGGCCTGGCATGTGGTATGTGTAGGCAGTCCCTCCCTGTTGGTGGTAGGTGGGGTGGTGAGCAGGACTGTGGAGGGGGTTAATGCCTTGGTTGTGGTAAGGGTGGTGAGCAGAGGGAGGCATGGTCCTGGTCATGTTTGTCTGGTTGTAGTGTGGATGCAGAGGGTTCCCCATGCTGTATGGACCCATGGCTCCATTTACCTGGCCCTGGGAGTGAGGAGGCATGGCTGGATTGTGAGCCTGCATACCCAGGTTACTACCCACGGACTGCGTTTGATGGTGATTGGGGCTAAAATCCTGGTGTTTATAAATGCCGTTTGGTGGGCCAGATTTCATCGTGGTGTGCTGTGGAGGAACAGCCATGCCTTCTGTGCCCAGTCTACCTGTAGACTCACTAGGTCGTTGATCTCCATGGCCTGTTGGGCTAGGCTGGGAGGGTAATTGTTGGGTAGGATGACTGGGTGGCAAAGATGTGAGAGGGACTGGCTGAGGGGTTCCAGGCTGGGCTGGTCGTGTGGCATTATGTGGCATCTCATGCAGGGGGCTGTTATGTGTAGGATGTTGTGGAGAGACGTTCTGGGGGACATGATGAGAAGGTAGGAGAGAATTTTGTTGCTGTGTGCTCTGGACCATGGGCTGGGTAGGGCTCTGAGGGTGGCACTGAGGAGGGGTACACTTGGTTGCCTGAGGCTCCTGCTGCTGTTGTTTCTGGATGTTCTGCTGGAGTTCACTTTGCTGATGTGCATTTTGCATGTGTGATAAGTTGTTCTCTGATATATGCTGAGATGCTGCTACATGCAGTGGCAGTACATTCTGGGGAGGAGGTGTGGGGCTGAGAGCTTTTTGCTGTGGGCTGTTCTGTGTATGATGAGGGGGGTTGGGTTGAATTAGATCAGTGGAGCTGTTGTTACTTGTGTTGAGATGGGATGAAACAGTAGTGGCACTATTGTATTGAGGTGGACAGTGGCTGGCACATTGTCTCTGACCATCTACCTCCTGCTTGTGGCTCTCTGTTGAACTCAGTGGGAGCCCTTGTTCAGACGGATTCTCCTGTGAGCTGCCCAAGTTAGGGACTGGGGGGCTCTGCATTCCCTCTGCTGACCCACTGTGGTGTCCTGTAGAGCTAGGGATGGAGGGGTCCCCTTGGTTAATTGACACAGTGTGTTTGTGTGATGAAGCTTCATCAGAAATGTTGCTAGCAGCCATTTTGTTGTCTGATTTGCCTGTCAACATGCAAAATAATGAAAGCTAGGTTAGTATAAAAGAATAACACGAGGGTAGCACTGAACATTATATGGCAAATTATAAGAACAATGTTGTATCAAATAACAAAAAAAAGACATCAAAATGACAAGGAAACAACCGAGGTCTGTCATTTTATGTTACTTATCCAAACCAATGAACAGTACAAAACTAGCATATTAAAAATTGACCAATGTCCTGTACCATTCCCAAACAGTGAGGATGCAAACACATTTGTCAGCTTGCTAGAAGCTTAAATGACATACCATCTCTTTTGCACCTCCAAAGCAACCAGCAATAAATTTGACTCAACTAATGAATATTCAATTTGATACTTACTATGAAAAATAATTAAAATCAAATTGTGAAAAGCACTTGACAGAGAGGGAGAGCAAGGACTGTGCTGATTAACAATCAAACACTAGTCTAGAAAAAAAATGTTTTTTAGAAAGAGGTTAGACTGCATTTGGGTTCCTTCATGCGGAATACGAACAGCTGGTGAAATACTGCAAGAGAAGGTCATGTCTACCTTTGGGCTGCATGTCTGTCTGTTGGGAAGGCCGGCTGTCTGGCTCATTGTCTCTAGCAGGACGCAGCAGCTGAACCTCAGGGGCAGGGGGAGGTTGCTGAGAGGGGTGAGCTGGGATGCTGCCAATTCCTGGTGGAGACCCAAGCTGCTGAAAGTTGCCCATGTGGTGATGAGGGGCACCATCAGGGGGTCCAGAAGAGGCTGACAGCTGCTGCAGGGCCAGCATCTCTGGGCTTTCCAGCATGGAAGCTAAGCATGTCCTGCCAGAGGAGTCTGGGTGGGGAACAAGGGGATGTGAGGACATGGGCCCTGGGGGGCTGACCGCTGTAGACATTTGATATTGGGCATTGGGAGGAGGGTGGGGGTATCCAACAGCTTCTGGCCATGGCTTAGGCCCCACTGGAGGTGGTACTCCACCATAACTAAAGCTGCGCTGGTTCACCATGTTGGGATCTTGAACGCGCATCCCATTTGGTCTCTCCTGGTGATTCAAACCATTCCACATACTGGATAGGGCCATACCAGGAGCCCTCATGCCTGGGCTGTTGTGCTGAGGTGGTCCTTCTGGCACTGAAAATCTGTTGCCCATGGGGTGCATGGTGCGACCCTCTGAACGGTGGTGAGATGGGTACATGCTGGCTTCAGGAGGAGGTCCAGGCTGGATGGCTACAGGACGTGGGCCCAGCGATGGGCCATGAGCTGGACCCACATAGGGGTGCTGCTGCTGGTGTGGAGGCTGCTGTTGGTTAGAATCTGGGCCCATTGGATAAATGGGACCCATGTGATGTCCTTCAACCAAGCGATGCTGGCAAAAAAAAAAAAAAAAAAGAAAACAAACCAGGTTAGGTTTTTTGGTGGGCCTTCCTGTTTTAACCAGCATCAAAGTCACCAAGTACTAAGGTCTCTCACAGGTGACGTTTCATTAAACAACACAATTAGGGCTGCAATTAACAACCATTTTTCTATGGATTAACCCATTAACTATTATACTGATGGTTAATTTCCCTCCAAAATGGTACATGTCCCAACATGCACCAACCACAGACTCTATAAGAGAGGACACACACACACACACACACACACACACACACACACACACACACACACACACACACACACAGCGAGAAGGAGAGCTGAGTGCAGAATAAACCCAGCCTTAACACTTCCTGAAACACTTATTCAGTGGAAATTCTAAGGTAGCAGGCAGGTAACTTGATTAGGACAAAAGACATTAAAAGCTCTCCCCACTAATCATAAATAAACATGGCGGGTCATTATCCAGAATAGCGCCTGTGTGTTTTCTCTTCAGATACTTGTGCATAGCGCTAGTGCTGCTGTTACATCAATGAAACTTTGCACAGTGTACAAACCACCTTTTTGTTTTTATAGTCTGAAGTCCTCCCATACTTTTGAAGCCATGGGTCTTTGGAAACTTTTACACCGCACCTCTTATGCAAACGAGTCAGACTGTCGACTGTGCTACAGCCAGCACGATTTTCTAAAACTGTAGCTTTGACAGGAGTCGACCAGTGACTAGAGTCAAAAACAACTGACATAATCTCACAGCAATTATGTAGTGATTGACAAAAACAATCAAAACAAAAAAACAAATTTGGTTTAACTAATTGAAACACTTTAGGATTACAGTGACAAATCTTGGCAGCCCTAAACACAACAAGGTTGTACTTCAGTAAAAATTGTCATTTACATACTGTTATAATTAAGTTTTACTGGGTCTGTATACCTGCACATTAAAATTGTAGGGTAAGTGGTTCAAGTTAGGGTCTCCATGCCTGTGAACGTGAGCTGGGTAGTTGAAGCGTGGATCCATAGCCATTCGCTGGGCATACATGTGGGGACCATGCGCACCAGGGGGACCGGGTACACGACAAAGCTGATAAGATAATAAAGAGAATTCACTATTCAAGTTTTTATTGTACATTTCAGATATAGAAGTGACATGTTAAACAACTTCAGCAAAACAACAGCAGGTACCTGTTGTCCTGGATGGTACATGCCCCTCAAGTCTCCTTCACAGATGTGTTGGTTTAGAGGCAGGCTATGGTGGTGAGGGGGACCATTGGCCCAATGAGGGGGTGGAGGCGGTCGTGTCAGGTTGTCCTCTTCCTCTGAGGGTGTGCTCCCCTTGCCCCCCTGGGAGTTTCGCTTGCGTTGTACTTGCTCAGTGGCCTTGATCAGACTTTCAGGTCCCAAATGTTTACTACCACGATTGCGCTTTCTGTCCTTGCGCTCCTTGTCCTCTCTGTTGATGTGGAATTCCTCATCTGTGTCACCATCTTCTGATGGAAAATGTTTTAGTAGGGCCCGGCTAAAACAGCGTTCTAGAGACTCCGCCATTATAGTGTACTCTGAGGACAGACAGACATCAACATCAGCTATGCTCATATGGCAACAAATATGTTCTTGCACACAACCGCATCTTCTGCACCCCATTAACACAGTCACACACACACACAAAAATACCTGTAGCTTTATCTGCATGTCACTCCCTCCCATCCACAAACGCAACCATAACCCCCCCGCCCCAAACACCACCTCTCTCCATCACTCCCTAACACTCAAACACTACAAACCAATTTGCATGCCATGTGTTCCTCCTCCACTTACTCCTCTGTTCTCAGCCCAGCGCTAGCCGGCTGACCAGGTCAGAGGGCGTACGTTGACCCCTTCCCCCTCCTCCACCCTGGGCCCCTTACCACTCTTCTCCCCCCACCCCCGGGGAGAATATTCATTTGGATGGATGGCTCCAGACAGGGGGCTTAGGGGCTGGAATGTTTCTCTGGCACTGCAGGGCTCAGATCCCCCTGAGCACTGGAGCACAGCTCAATCACTCCCCATTAATCACTGTCAAGACTGCCCTGTCCCCGGCCCCAAACCATAACTAAGTCCAGCCCCTTTTCTTTTGCTTTCTCTTCTGCTCTCACCCCCTGCCTCTCACCCCAAAAATACATATATGCAATTCTTTCTGACAACATATACCTACTGAAAGAGATTTTGATGCATTAGCCTTAGAAACAGACTGTTAATGAAGGAAACTGATTTTTGGGGATAGAGCTGGTTTGTGTTCATTTACCACTGTCTTCTCCATTGTACTCAACGCAGTTTTCAAACATGAGCTTCACATCAGCAACAAACTCCTCCTTAGCAACGTACTCCCCATTGTTGAGCTTCTTCTCAATGGTGGACAGGTCCATGGGAGTCTGAGGAGATGTGAATAATAGAACACAGACAGTTACATTTATGGTTGAATACATTAGTTATTAGGATATGAACCACACACAAAGATAACGTCAATATAACACAAACACCAACAGTAAAAACAATGACAGTATTTTGCACCTGGATGATCTCATGATAATTGGGGGCATAGGAGTCATCCACAGGCTCCAAAAAAGGCCAAGCATCTTTATGGGCTTTCAGGGCCTCAAGCACTGGAAAAGAGATCTTAGATCAGATCAGACCAGACATTGGAACAAACACTAAACAGTCCCGCCAGGATTTCACAGACCTTTTTTTAGGTTTGTTGCAACCTAACATGCCTGATTTTGCTGCAGCATTTCTGAAAATTGAAAAACTAGCGATGTGTTGCAATGTTAAGATTTTTTTTTTTTTTTGCAGTGAAATTACAGGAGCAAGTGAAAATTGCAAAAATAATTAATAGTAATGTTTAGTGTGTAAATCATTAAAAATCAAAGACAACTTCTGAGTGTGGTGAGATGTAATGATGCTGTGGTTGAAATGCGTTGGTTCTCTTCATGGCATTTGGTTCTGTATTGGCCAGACAACTGCTTCGTGAATGAGAACTGAACCAGTTCTCTCTTGCTCACAAAGCCCTGTCATACACATACACGCTCCTCATCTCCGATTTCATTACACATCCAACTTCATATTTTGACTAAATATTTTACACCTTGTTTAGAACTTTTATTTCTCAACTACTGTCTTTGTCACACACAAAAAGTGTGTCACGCAAACAGACATGCACGCTTCTTATTTTCTGATTTACACAACACTAATGGTACCACTACTTACTGACAATCTAACTCACCTTGATGGATGCAACACAGTGGTTTGTTCAGCCTATTGTCCCTATATTTCAACAATTTTCCTGGTGTGTTTTGCTGTAAAAAATAGTTTGTCAGTGATGTCTTTTGTTCTACTGCAATGTTGCATGTGGTGCAAAACAGTTTGCAAAACTTTCCTGCAAAACATCAGGGAATTGCACTGCAAGGCCATTAGTAATTATTGCCTGTAAATGTGAGACATTTGTGTCATACGTCTACATCTTCACAACCTGAAATAAGGAAGTGAATTTGGTGACATATGACAACGTTTTGTGCAGGTCACCGTTACAATAGTAGAAACTTGTGGGAAATTACGATGACGAGACAAATTTGTGGAAAAGATGCGGGAACTGGACAAAACTGCACAGCCACGAAGAATTCGTGGGCACTGGCTGAATTTGCATTAATTGTTGCGATTGCCATATCACAAAATCCTGGAGGGACTGATTAATGTGAAATGAATTAAAGAAACAGCCTTCAGTAACCAGACCTTTGTATAGAGCTGTGTAGTCCTCATCAATTTCATAGCTGAAATGTCAAACACAGGACAAGTTACAAATAACCAACTTTGCTTCATTCACACAGTGAAGTCTGGAGTCAAATAGAGAAAGCCTCTAACAATTCTTTATTCTTGCGTGTTTTGTGGACAGGGGAAGAAGGTTCCAGATTCAGGAGTTCAGGCGGCAGGTCTTTTCCTTGAGACAGCAACCGGGCCCTTTCCTCTCGCATCTTCCGCCTCTTTGCTCGTTCTGAGAGAGAGAGGGATGAACACAGGGCAATTAGAGGCACAAACAATAAAAAAACACCAGTGTCAGGAGGATGCGGGAAGACTATGTTTTAATTGCCTTTTCATGCTTTTAAGTAACAGTTTAAATTACTTTGCTGCCTTTGAGGCCATCAAGAGAGCCAATGAAAACCAGAGCTTGGCCATCAGCAGCTCAAATTATTTTCTTTCTACTTATCAGTTGTCTTTTTTTAGGCTGATCGTTGTTCAAAAGAACAGAAGAGAAAAAGAGTACACTGTATCACTGCTTTATCTTTTAACATGAGAAGCCTGCTCCCCTACTGTGCAGATTAAAGATGTTTGAGGGAAGATTCCACATATGCACTCCACACAGAGACCGGGCCAGGTCCTGCTGTTCATCTACAATACATTAATGAGGCTCCTCCACTGAAGTACAATCAGCAGTTCATTAACCCTTGACAGATGACATCAGAGAGAAAAAGAGAAGGATCCTATGACTATAGGCCCTGAACATTCACAGGCTTTGGGTACTATACATAACTCACATGGTTATGAGTGCTGCTATGCTACAGTAGATGTGGAGATGTGAAAAGCCTGTGCTTTGGGTGCCCTTCACAATCCATTCTGCCCTTGATCTGGAGAAATGTACGAAAGCCCCCTAGCTGCTGTTGACAGGTCACTGATGAAAGAATGTGAAACTACATGTATTGCTGTTCTATAAAAGTATATAAAAAGTTGCTGCACAGCTTCAGGAATATTTTTTAGATCTTAAAATAAGGGTTATTTTGCAAACAAGGGGTTGTACAGCTTCCATTTGTGGCTCATCCACCTACATTAGCCACCCATCTTACCCTCCACAGCCTTGATCTTCTCCAGCTTCTCTCTCTGTCGTTCTTCCTGAAGAAGCCTTTCCTCTTCTCGACGCTGCTCAGCCAGTAAGACCTGCCTGTCCAGCTCTTCATCTTTCTTCTTCTCCTCCTCTGCCACAGCCTTCAGATTGTCCTGAAACCACACATACACACAAGCCCTTTAGTCTAATCTGGACTCTCAGGAGCGGAAAGCTGGATAATGCTAAATATATCAATGTAAGATTGATACATACAACACTAGGAGAGTATTAGAAAAGCAATAGAGAAATCCAAAAGACTGCTAGGGATTTAACAAATAAAAATAGCTGTTTACCTGCAGTCTTCAATACTATCTCAAAAAATGTACACATACAAAGATGCACACACCTCATCCTCTTGGTTAATGTGCTTTTCAGAGAATCGTTGTGATGTGCGTACTGGGGCTGGATCCAGTAGCTTCTGTTTCTGCTCCCGCTCCTGAAGAGAAAGAAAGATTAAATTCAGCTCTGCTCCTTATAGCTGTTAAACAATCCATGGTCCAAATATACACAAAAGCAGCTGGAGCCTCCTACCATTCCTGAACAAATGCTTTTTAATAGGCCAAGTAGCAGTAGTTGACAAGTGGGGTTGTTAATATTTTTTCTGATTATATTCAGTTATTCAGAGTTCATCCATCTACAACACACTTTTTTTAAAAAAATTCTGAACAACATACTGTATGTGGATATGCCTGTAATAGTGATGCGTTACTGACTGAGCCATCAAGATAGATCAGCACCACACTAGCCCCTTTTACACTGTCTGTTCAAGGTGGGATTACCAATTTTCTACCATGCCATTCTGTATAAAGCTGGCATGGTGTGTTAGAGCTGACTCTTCTTTACTCTGCCACAAGAAACAGTAAAACAGGTGTGACCTTTTTTTTTTTTTTAAAGTTCAGTGTAAATAGACAAAGCCACAATAAAGAAGTGCCAATTTAATGCCAAGACAGTCGAATCTCTGTGGGTGAGCAGCGAATATTGAGAGGTTCAGCCAGTGCCCAAAAATACCCATTACACTCCTAAGCAATCATAATGATCATAGGAGGTATTGTAAAGGCATGCTGCTCAAACAGACAATTGCACTACAATATGGCACCAAATTTCAAAGTTTTTTCACTTCTTCAAGATGTATCTTGAGAATATAGTATACAATCCACGTTTGAATCCAAATCAATGACAGATCTGTGATCCAGATACTTTGCACACTAAAGGAGAGAAACACCAGTGAGCTCTAAACAGACTGGCCTCTGCAGCTCATGTCCGAGTTCATCAAGGAAGCAGCACTGTGAAAAACACAGCTCACAGCACTGAGAGGTGTCATAGTCAGGATTCTGGACATCCATAAAACAACTATGGGAGGTCTACAAAGCAGTGACAGCTGCATGTAGCTTGTGTGTGTGTTCATTTAAGGAGGCAAAAGAGGAAGGAAGATGTAGATGGAGCAGAGAAAAAGGAAGAGTGAGAAAAGAGAAAAAAAAAAAAAAGACATTCATGATCTTATCTATAGTGCACTCCACAACTCTTCTGTACCCACTCCCTTGTTGTCTTGTCCAAGTGTGAAGCACTGATGTATCCTGGGGATCCGCAATTCCCCTCTTATTTACCACCAGCACTAAATCCCCCCCTGCTGTCCAACACACATAAAATAGAGTGCCTCTGGGGTCACCACTTAAGAAAGGTCAAAAGAATCGTGCATCACAGCAGAGCTGTCATTCAAGGGGCTCCATGCTGCCACAAGGTGAGCTCCTGCCTGCTGTCAGTGCCCATGACGTGGCTGGTGACATGTGAAGCAGCCAGAGACGTGTGAAGAT